GATTTTCTCTCGTGTTAGTTTTACAAATGGATATTTTCGGCATCGTTGTAAATTAACTACCAAAAATTCAAATGAAAAATAAAGGCTTTGTTATATTTCTTAAGTGATATATTTGATGGGGATTTTACAATTATCTAATCAGATTATTGAAAAAAGGAATTTCAGATTATCGAAAATTCTATCGAGAGTATAAAGCTTGACCTCTAATATGTTAACTTAATATCATTACATATTAAAAGACCCAAAGTAAAGGCGGACACGTGTCACCATTTCCAATCGTCGTCAAAAATTTCTTTTTTTAAAAAAAAATTCCCTAAAATTCGTCAAAATTTCCCGTATCGCCGTTCCTGCTTCTCCATCATCTCACGCAACCACCCACTCCTCCTCCATTTTCCCACACAACCTCTCATTGCAAACTTCTCCTTCCTTTCCATGTGCAAATCACGATCTGTTACAGAAAGCTCGAAGGAATGGGGTTTTCAAGGGTGATATTTTCCTTCCCCTTTTTATAATAATACGTGAGCAATCTGATATTTTTGCAAATATTTATAATTATGTTCGTTCATACCATGATACAGATACATTCCTTCGGATTGTGATGTTGTGGCTACTATATATGAAGACTAGAAATATGCAAAAACACCAGAGGATGCAGTTGCCAGTTCTCTCAAAGCAAGTTTCATATGCTTTCCTTGGATATTAGTTGTAATACTCTGACGTAACTGTTATTTATGCCAAATTTATGATTAAACTTTATGGCAGGAACTGATATTAATTGTGGAACGTATATGCTAAGGCACACTAAAGCTGCAATCGAGCAAAGGAAGGTTTTCAGAGGAAGACATAGATAGAACATTGCTCAATCTGTTTTCTGTTCAACTCCGACTTGGTCTTTTTGATGGAGCTCCTACAAGAAATCGATACTGGAATTTGGGACCTCGAGACTTTCTTCAAAGCACAAGAATTTAGTTCTTGAAGCGGCAAGGCAGGGTATTGTGCTTCTAAAGAATGACAAGAAATTTCTGCCATTACATAAACATGGTATCTCTTCTCTAGCCATTGTGTCTCCATGCAGTATCAGACGTTTTTTTTTCTAGAGCCAATAAAATTTCTTATAGGTCATGTTTCAACTATAACTAAAAAATGTTCAAGTGCGCTCACAGTATAATCTCAGCCTCTTCCAACTCCAAATCTTCAAACTTGTGCCAGTCAAGAGGGTTTGGAACTTTAGATGCTAAGTTTGAATTTTAGAAACCTATAGGAATAGATGGTGTTAAGGTAAAAAATAGTCAGGGGTCTTTGTGTCAACTATGTGAACTCGTCGGGGGCGTTCTCCTCTCGACCCCTGCGACCTAATCGGGCAGGTCGATCCCCGTCGGGGGCACCCACGAGGAGCGCTGTCCCCTCGTCCCCCGCGACGTGATCGACCAGGCGTTGCCCCCGAGCCCCACGAAGGGCATTGCCCTCGACCCCACGACCTGACACATCGATGTCTTTTCGAAGCAGCAAACCATTTGAATAACAATAATA